TCAAATAAATAAATAAAATCTTAAAAAAAAAAAAAAAAAAAAATTAAAAAAAAAAAAAAAAAAAAAAAAAAAAGAATTGAGTTCTAGCTCTTAACCTGTTTTCACCAGGAAGTAACACACATCCCCTCTATTCACATTTCATCGATCAGAACTAGTTTGTGGCTGCAACTAATTTCAAGAAGGTGGAGAAGGCAACAGGGTCTGGTGAACCTTAGTAATGATCACCACCTAGAGCTTTTACTGTTAATGAAAGCGGAAGGGGATAAAAACATTTTAGTTTATAAATACTGTATAGTACTTGTTACAAGCTAGATATTATTTAAATGGCTTTCAAATAGGAATCATTTAACCCTCATAACAGCCCTATTAAATAGCTCATTTTTACCCCCATTTGACAGAAGGGGAAATCAAGGCTATATTATTTACTCTAGGTCATATAGCTAGCATGAGGCAAGGCAAGGACCCAGGCAGTCTGGGTCCAGAGTCTAAGCACTGAACCTCTATATAATACTCTGCTTTCTATTCAGCTGTCTATTCTGCTTTTTCTCAACTTAGATTGGGGAAGGGGTGGGAGAAGAGGAGGAGCGGGGAGGTTATAAGTGGAAGTGTGGGACTTTGTGCACCCAAAGGAATCAAATGATAGCGTTTGGGTATTTCAATGCTAGAGCTGGGGCAGAGCTCTGAGGGAAGCAGAGAGTGACACTTGGGGAATGGGTTTGGGAGCAGGAAATGGTGTGGACTTTCACTGCTGCTAAGGCGACCAACCCTGGAGGCCAAGATGGAGAGCAGCCTCTGGCCCTTTTCTTTCTTCTTTGCTCCAGTTCCTCCATCTGAGTTATCCATTCAGCATCTGCAAATCCAAGCTTAGGCCTATGCCAAAGTTATCTCAGAAACAAATTGGAGATGGGGAGAAAAATCATTCCCCTAGAGAGTAGTGGGTAAGCTGTTTTCAAGAAGGGGTCTAATGTTAAGTCAGACTGGACGTTTTTCTAATGCATTTCTGAGAGCTTACATATAATTACACTCCTGTCAAATAAACTACATTTTAGAAATCTTCCAAGAAGAGGTGCTTGATAAAAGAATCCTTCAGTGAACTACAGTAGTGATTACAAACTACCATTTCCTAATATGTCCGATTTCCAAGTCTTCGCTTTTATGTTGGTTGCTGTTAAACCAGAATGCACCTGCAGTTCAACTAATATCCATTCATTTCCAAGCTGTGATTTGGGCATCAGCGAACACTTCTGGGTATTGGAACTCTTGGTTCTCACAGACACCACCACTCCAATGACAATGCCTCAAGAAAGAAGAAAAGGACAAACGATTCTGCTTTAAAATGGGATCCTTGCAATGAAACAAACAAGAAGAAGCCCTCTGTGTGACATTGAAGCTTTTTGATTCCTATCTCTCTTACCTGTTAAATCCTGCAGTTTGGTTACAACATATGGACTCTGTCTGCAAAACACTTTTAAAATGCTGTATTGGCACCTTGCTGCAATCTGCCAGCACATTCCTTAGGGCTAGTCAGTCCCTACGGTGCCACTCTATTTTCCTTAACTCCATTTTGATTAGAAGCTGTTGCACATTATTGCCACGGGTTTCTCTTCTCTCCAGTGCTGCGAAATCAGTCATGGCAAGAGAGATCACTGGATGTTGCTGGTTGTTACCAGCATTTAGGCAACGTCAGATTATTTTCTCTTTACAAGGAGCTCTTGCTACAGGGTCAGAAGGCTTGATTCTAGGTTCAGTGCAGCCTCTGAAGTACTGTGTCATCTTGGACTAGGCACTTCATCTCTCTGGGTCTCGGTTTCTTCCTCTGTAAAATGAAAATTTAAACTCGAAGATTAAGAAGAGTGTGGAAACCAAAGGTTTGACACTTTATAACTACCAATTATTTTCACAATGATTAAAACAATCCAAAAGTTATAATGCTATACAGTTAAGGACAAAGAAGAAAAGATGAATGACATTTTAATTAAATCCACAGATGGAAATAAATGGGGGAAATTCTACCAGTAATTGTGTGACTGTGTCTTAATGGAGTCCCAAAGAGTTTCCTCTTTGGGAAGTGTGAGCTAATACACCCACAGAGGAGTGATTAGGAACAGAGATATTTATACTAGAAGGGAAATGCTGGGAAACAGATTTTATATCAATACCCAGAGGCGAGATGTGGGCAGCTGATGATGTGCAAAAGAACATATAGGTCTGAAGTATTTCCTGCTAATGATGATGATGGATTTATCATGTTAGAAGTCTAGGACAGCACCCTATGAAATATATATATTTTTATATACATGTATATGTATATTTATATGTATGTGTATATATGTGTGTATTTATTGCTGTTGATGATGATGGATTTATCATGTTAGAAATCTAGAATGGCAATCTATGAAATATATATATTTTAAATTTTTTTTATGTATATATATTTACCAGTCTGTCTGTTACCACCCCAGTCTGTGAATGGCTCATTAGTCTAGGACCATGGTGTGTCTGTACATTAGGTTAGTCCCTACACAGTTATGTAAGACCCATGGGGGAGGGAGGAATCCAATCCTGTGTGTTTAAGAACTGCCTTTCCACTTCGCCCCGCCCCTAACCCACCCTCAGTCGCCTGCAGGGAGGGAGCTGGAACCTCAGCCACATCTCTGACTCCTGTGAGTGCCAGGCAGATTAGATGGATCCAATGCGTGCCTGAGTCCCTTGTTATTTAAATAAATACACCCCAATGTATTTAGAAGACATTCTAGCTGTAGGGGAATTAACTTGCACCACCAGCAGTACTCGAGTAGAAAGCTAAAATAGCCTAGTGTTATTCCAGAGTCTCTTGATTTTTTTTTTTTTTTTTTTTTTGCAGAAGGAATCCTAGCCCAGCAAACTGATCTCTGCCTTGCGTCAACCTTCAGGGTTTACTCAGCCACCCAAGGTCTGGGTAAATGGGTGGAAATTTCAGAAATGAGAAGAGGAAAAATGCCCTAGGCTAAAACCGGGATCCTGGTTGTGTATTTATGTGCCTCTCGGTCACAGGCAGTGCCTATCCTCCCTCCCCCGGGTGCGCTGGCGAGACAGTGATGGAAAGTCGAGGCCAGTGGTTGGTAATCTAGGGGTTTCTAAACGAAGTCTGACATCTTCCCTCTTTCCTTCCTGCCCAAGGCAGGAACTGAGTAGATGTTTCCTAGGACCCCAGCTTGAGGATTCAAGTTGCTTTATAGCAACTTAGCCTCGATCATTTCTAACAAGGGTAACCTAGCATATTATGACCCCAGCAAAAGGGGACGCCCCCATACAACTGTCCTTCGCTTCGACTTCTGGCCGTGCTGCAACGCGCACTTTTTGTCCTTAGTCCTTGAACCTGCTTAGCAGTCATTCTTTCTGGGTAGGCCCAGTGGAGCCTCCCGAGGGGAAGCTTTAGATCCGTGCTTCTGCTACTTGAGCGAAAATGCATCCTATTTACCCGGAGGGCTTGTTAAAACAGATGATTGGCCCACGACCCAAGTGTTACTAGTTACCTAGCTTTGAGGTAGAGCCCGATATTTTGCATTTCTAGAAAGTTCTTAGGAGATGTTGCCAGTTCGGGACCACCTTGAGAACCACTGCCTTAGATAAAAGAAGGTACCTTGGCGTGAGCTCCCCCTTTCCCTTCCATCCCTCCAGGCTACATTCGCATTTATGCCATTTCCCCTTCTCCGGGTAGTTTCCGGCTTTTGGACTCTGTATTCTAACGGTTCCACTCCGGTTCTGAGCGGATGGAGCGTTCTTAGAGAAGATTCCTGCCCGCCTCCCCTTGCCGCTACGTTCCCACCACCTTTAATGTTTTTCCACCACAAATGCTGTCCGCCGCACTCCCTCTCTCTGGTGTGAATTATTCACCCACTTCCTCTCTACTTGCATTAAGTGCAACCTTTCCCGCAACTTAACCCGGGTAGCGGGACTCGCCGCTCGCCTCCCGCGCTCCGCAGCTCTGGGGAGGCTACCCGCGCGCCAGCTCCAGCCGGAGGCGCAGGGGCCATTCCCGCTCTCTGCGCGCAGACCCTAACTGGCCCCTGCTCCTGGGCGTGGGGCAGGGCGGGTGCCTGCAGCTCTTCTGTTGAGCCTCGGGCGCCAAAGCCCGGAGGGGGGCGGTAGCAGCGTCAGGTGGCTGCTCCGCGTCCCCGCGCGCCTCCCAGTCAGTCCCTGCTCGGCGCTCAGCCTCTGCTGGAGCGGGAGCTGCTCGACACCTTCGCCCTGACAGCCGCGTCTTCGGGAGCAGCCGGGGCTCGAGACCCCGGCGGGAGGAGCTGAGATGTAAGCCTTCCGACTACCCATTGCTCTCTTTGGCATCCTGCTCGCTTTTCACTTCCTCTCCCGCTCCGTGGCCCCATTGGACAGCGAACGTTTGCCTGGATCTCCGGGGAGAGAGGAGCGGCCACCGGGCGCACAGCCGGGCAGAAGTTGGACTCAGCTGGGCAGCGGTGATCCAGCTGCGCGGGCGGGTGGGCCAGGGCAGGAGGAGAGGAAGGCTCTGCAAAGAGGTCCGGATCTGGACTGAGAGGGACTGGGAGCGAGGGCTTGAGTTGACACTTCCCGCTCCCCGGCCCCGGGGCGCGGGGCAGCGGGAGAAATGCTGAGTCCGCGCCCAGGCGACCGCCGCCGCGGCAGCAGCCTCAGCAGCAGCTTCAGCATCAGCACCGGCGGGACAGCGACAGCGGGGGCGGCGCAGGCGCACTGTGCCCCGCGGAGCCTGCAGTTCCCGAGCCCCGTGTGCGGCACCGCCACAGTCTGGGCAGCGGCGGCCGGGGGAGCGCTACTACCATGAACTGCCTGGTCCTCCTCCCTAGAGCTGTTCATCCGGGTCGGGCTGGAGACACAGTCAGGGGACCCCGTCGCCGCCGCCGCGCCCCCACTTCTTTCGACTCGATCTTCTCCTCCACCTTTTTCTTCTCTTCCTCTACCTTTTCTTCCTGCATCCCCCCCTCCCCCGCCGCGGATCCTGGCCGCCGCTCTCCAGACCCAGGATGCCGGGGGGCAAGAGAGGGTTGGTGGCACCGCAGAACACATTTTTGGAGAACATCGTCAGGCGCTCCAGCGGTAAGAAGAGTTGCAGTTCAGAACACCCCCACCTCCCTCCTGCCCACGCGCGCCCCCCATCCTCCCCATCCCATCCCTCTTCTAAGGGGGAGAGGGATGCAGACCGCCCTACCTGGGTGGCTTCAGTTACTAATTGGATCTGATTTGGGGTGGGGAGGGGAATAAGGTGGTGGAGGAAAGTTAGTTGCATCCCCTCTCCAAGACATACTCATTTTCCTCCCACCTGTCCAGAGCCCAGAAAGGGAGGAAGGGAAGAGAGAGCTGGTGGGGTGTAGGTTCATCTGGAGAATAAAGTTGAGTTTTGCCTTGATGAGGGATATATTTCTCGTTCATCCTTTACCCACATTCTTTCCCCAAATCGACTTCAGGGACTGGTCAAATTCGTAGAGTTAATCTTAGTGGAAAGGTTTCCCTCAAGTTGGGAATGGCTGTGACAGTGGCTACTTAATAAGATTTAAGTCTCTGGAATGGCTTTTGGGCCCAGTGAGCACTGCTGAAAGGAACCTTGTGCTGGGGAGAGTAGTTGGAGTTGAACCTAATAGAGTCAGTGCTCGAAAAATGGGAAGGCAATTACTATGGTTAAGTTCGTGTTTCAAGTTTCTTCATTTAATTTTTTTTCATTGTGCATTGGTCTATGTTAATCTATATGATATATTTGATTTGACTTAAACAGGAGAAATGTAAAAAGGAAGGAATAGCTACTGTGCTTTTAAAGTAACTAGAGAAACAATTCTTAGACATGCCGTTCTACTTTGCTACTGATTGTAAGGTTTTCTTGCCCTAAAGTGTCTTTTAAATCCCATACATTTATAAATCCATTTCCTCCAAGATATTCTGAATCAGGATCGTTATATAGATCACATTTTAAGATCCTCTAAACTTTGTGTGTTACTAAAATCTACATCTTTCATGTCTTTTTAGTTCTTGTATATAATTTCCAATTTTATAAGCAAGATATATAAAGCATCCTTTAAAGTTTTTTTCTTTTAGAGGCCTTTTATTTTATTTTGAGATCTCTTATTTGGAGACTTATGAGAAAGGTATTTCTGCATATTGATTACAGTAGAGCAATGGAAATACTGTATGCAGTTCCATAATTCATTGTTGACTCATTCATTGAAACAATATTTATTTGGGTATCATATACAACAGACACTCTCCGGGGTCCTTGGATAAAAGAAATGGTGAAAACACTTCTGTTCTCAAGTGGGTAAGAGAGGATCACACTAAAAAGATAATAAAAAAAATACAATTATACTTTCCCTGAATTGGTTGACTAGATTATACTAATTCTTAGATTAGCATCTCTTCTAAAACTAGGGTTGCAAATATTTTCCCTGATTTGGGGACTATCTGTATTTTAGTGTCCCAAGGTATTTTTCATAAATCTCTGCCATGATATTTGGTTTTAATTCGAAGCTTGTGACTTTATTACTTCCACTTTGGTCAACACCTGATATTATACAAGTCTAGAGCAGACTTTTTGGTTGAAAAAGTAGCTAATGGTCTCAGTCTAATTAAAAAAAATCTATAATATTTTTTAGCTATTCCAGTGTGATTTCAAATGTTTTTGATTTTTTATGATAATACAAAAAACGAATTAATAACAGTTTATACATTACCTTTATGTATATTAAGTGAAGACTTAGAGTACAAGGGGATGTTACTATTAAAACAATCCATTTGGGAGATATTAAGTTTATTGGGATCAACTAATCAAGATACAAACATTTTATTTGAGCTTTCTTATCTTCTTGGGTTATTTCAATTCCATGCAGTTTGGTCTGTGAGAGGACTTTTCAGAGAAGGCCTTAAAAAATAAAACCTACAGACTCTCTGTTCCTCTGCCTGATAACCAGAAAGAAGATGAGAATTCCTTGACTGAAGTTGACTAATATAGCATCTTTGGTTGAAACTTCCACAGATTGGAACCATGAGCCAGTTTTTGGAATATCTTTTATTGCAGATATACAAGAAATTAACGCTTTATCTTAATGTGGCTTAGAAATATCTGCTTCTGGGGCACCTGGGTGGCTCAGTCATTAAGCATCTGCCTTCAGTTCAGGTCATGATCCCAGGGTCCTGGGATCCAGCCCCTGCATCAGGCTCCCTGCTCAGTGGGAAGCCTGGTTCTCCTTCTCCCTCTTCCCCTGCTTGCATTCCCTCTCACTGTCTCTCTTTCTGTCAAATAAATAGATAAAATCTTTAAAAAAAGAAAAAAAATGTCTGTTTCTGTTTTACACATACCATCCAAATTAATGAATGTTCTATCTTTTTGACACCTCACCTGTATAAGTGCTTCATTGGTCTAATGTTTCTTTCTGTGGGTAACAATACCAAGTGCAAATGAAAACTGATCTGTTTTGGCATTTAAAATATCACTTTCATTGCTTATGGCTAACTTTTAATACCACTACTCAAAACCTCTGAGCTTCGTTTGAAATGTGTTGGACATGTGAGCTAAGTATATGCACATGTGTAGGTAGTAAAAACTAGAAAGTCTCAGTACTACTTTTATAGGAAGAACCCCAGAAATTGAGAATTACAGTATTAAATTGGTCTGCACATTCATGTGGGAGTATCCCACAGTTGTTACCATTCCTATATGATTTGGCAGAGAAATAGAAAAATTCATTCTGAGAAATTGTTTAATTGAGACTAACAGAGAAAACTCCCTTCAGAATTCTCACAGATGAATGAGGTTTGTCACACTGAAGATTTCATTATTCACTAAGTTAACCACATTGAAAGTGAAGTGTTGGCAGAGCTTTAGTGGAAAAAAAAGAAATTGAAGAAAGATAGGCTGGGGTTGCCTATTTACCTTTACCCCATGAAATACTTCTCTTTCTGATACATCATGTTCTTCTTATGAAAAGATCAGATCTTTTAATGACTGTCAGATGAAACAGAAACTTATACAGAGAGACGTATGGAGATAAACACACAACCATTCACTCAGATGCAAAGATGGAGGTACCAGAAAAAACTCTCTCTTTCTCTTTCTCTCACATACACACACACGAAGAGGAAAAGAGAGATGTGGAAAGTAACAGAAATACAGAAAGAGAGATACAGAAGTGGGGGAGGATATCAGATTGGAAAGACTATTAGACCCAAAGAAAAAACATCAGACACTTATTTGTCCATGGCTATTAGTAGTGAACTGAAATCTCAGCCAATTAGCCATCCACCAGAGAACTTCTTGATGACGTGGAACAAAAGAGCATAAAGTGTGGTCTATTTGGACGTAGCTTTGAAATCGGAGCACTTCCTAATAAAGTTCCTGACTCTTCAGTTGCAATTTCCCAGATGAACAGTGCCCTGTTCGGTGCCCTACAGTGACTCTTGCTTCTGTTTGCTGATTCTTTACACCTCTTGAGATTGGATTTTTATTTTCCTTACTTGGTTGACTCGTTTGTTATGGGGAAGCATTTCAAATTGTTACTAGTGATTCAAAGTCTATAAAATAAAATAATGGGGGCTATTGAGTAGGATGGATACAAACATACTTTATGGCCAAATTCCAAAATGGTACTAGTAGGGAATTCCTCTTTCTAATTTTAAGATAAAGGACAAGATCAATTTTAGATAAATAAAAGGAACTACAATAATTCTTAATATATGATTCTAGCGGATATTGTCTAAGAAGTTGCAAAAGTCAAAAGTATAACTGTATTAATAAGGTTTAGATACATTTTGACCAGGAGGTTCAAAATGAGTTGCTAGGAACAGAAAGTTTGGAACTAGTTCATTACATCTGTGAAATAACTCATAGAAGACCTCAGCCCAATGTACTTACTGATTGAACCCGTATCTGATACATTATTAGAATGTCTTCCCTTATTTAAATTTCAATTATTTATGCACACTATTCATCAGTGTACATCGGGTTGTAGGGAGCAGTAAACCTGTGGGTAGAGGGTAAACGCCTGAAAGAAAGCCAAGGGTATTTAAGAGTTCTAGGTGAAATTTTAGATTCAAACAAAGTAAAACAAAACAAAACATTTCCAAGGCCTTCAACCTATGTCTTTGGGCAGCACATTTTATTTGTAAGTTGTCTTTGGTTCCTTCACAAATAAGCGGAAATGATTAGTGTCTATGACAGTGAACTAGGGAGCCATTTTGAAATATTATACATCCCAAATTTAATATCTTTTTATTAGAATTTGATTATTGTTCTTTAATATTTTAAGCATTATAAAAAACTAAAAACGTTTTTCTCTTTGGAGGAAAAAAAAGGGGATCAGGAAAGAAGAACACAGAAACGGTTGTATTTTATCAACCACTTATCCTGCAAGAGAAGAAGTTCAATATATTCGATTTGCCATTATAGCTTGAGATGTTTATGTTGTACAAGCACTTTCTTGACTCAGTCACCTTTTACAGAAAATCTGAAATTATTTTTTTGCTATAATTAACATTTGTAAAAACTGAGATCTTTAAAGGGAAACTATAGGAGAAGAAATGGAGAACTAGTGATTTAAAAATAAAGCAAAAAAAGGGTATCACACCTTTTTAGTAGTGTCCAATGTAAAAAATGGTGAAGACATGATTTTTTTTTTGCTATAATGTTCATGATTTTTTTGAGAGATTTTCTTTAATATCTAAACCGCTATTCAGGAGATAGTGACAACCGCGTAGTGTCTGAGGCATTGACTAACCCAGGTCTTACAATGTATCACTTTTGCTTTTAGTACATCGTAGAGGTTGAAATTATACTGACCACTCCCTGAATTATATTTATAAATAAGGTAGCAGATTGTCTCTGGCTCTAGAGCCCACATCCTGTTATGTAACAAATAACTTTGCTGACCAGAATGCTGCTTATCCCAGTTCATTCTTGTCTTCTTCAGAAATTGTCCTCTTTGTCTTTTGCTTGATTCCAGGAGTAGGGGTGTGTAAGAATCCCATGTCCCCAGCTATCCTTTAACTGTCCTTCAGTTTATTTTTTATTTTTATTTTTTTTAAAGATTTTATTTATTTATTTGACAGAGAGAGAT